TGTCCTAACTTCTAACACTGTGGGTTCAGTTGTGCAGACACTTGTTTTGACTCTGATTTCTCTTCCTCAACCTCGTGTTTATGAAGTTGGTCCGTGTTTTTCCCACAACAGTCCATGCGTTCTCGTGGCTGCAGCATCCCACTGTGTGCACGCACTACAGCTGATCTGTTCATCCTGCTGTCCGTAGGCATTTGGCTTATTTTAAATTCCGGGCTCTTAAGAACAGTACTGCTATGAACATGTTTATACAGATCGTTTGGTAAAAATGTTCATAAATTTCCGTAGAGCACATACTTCAAAAAATTCGTGGAAAAATGGAATGAAAAGATAATACGAATCTTCCCGTGAACTTTCTGAAGTCCACTCATACTTAGGAATGGAATCGAGTATACAGTTGGCCCTCTGTGTCTGTGGGTTCTGCATCCACGGATTCAATCAACGGCAGATCAAAAATATGGAAAAAATTTTAATAAAAGTACAAATAAAAAACAATACAGTGTAACAACTATTTACATGGCACTTACACTGTATTAGGCGTTATAAGTCATCCAGAGATGATTTAAAGTGTGCGGGAGGATCAGGAAAGTTATATGCAAATACTACGTGTGCCATTTTATATAAGGGGCTTGAGCATCCATGGACTTNCGGTATACGGCACAGAGCCAACCACCCGGTGTACGACGCATAACCTGCCACCCTACCAAGTGGCTGGCTCTCCATCGTACAACAGGTAGCTGGCTCTGTGCCGTATACCGGGCGGCCGTGCAGCAGGTCTTGCCTATACAACATACATACTCCACTGCTCCTCAGGTGCCACCAAGGCTGAGGAAGACCTCGGGACCCTCCTCGCCAGTTTTGCCTGTGATCAAAGCCAGTCGTGGACTGTGATGAGCATGCTGAGCATGGCCAGGCCACCGAGCAGAGAAACCGCAAGGCAGCGATGACCCTAGAGCTCACCAGACTCATTCCTTTGAAGTCTGGAAGGGTCTCTGTTCATCGCTATTAAAACCAACAGCTGGGTCTGAAGTTTGCCACTGCCTATTCTCGCTACCTGCAGCTGTGTCCTCTTCAAGCCCAGGGAGACTTGTTCCTCTACTGGGAACAGGTCATTTCCCTCCTGTGACCACCAGTGGACAGTAACAGCGGTACCTATGCCATTCCAGCTGAGGACAGGACATGCACGCCTGCCTTTGAAGACAGGACAAGCCTGGACACACCAGATCCCCAAGACCAGGTCAGACACGGGGTCTCTGAGGTAACTGGGGCCACCTCCGCTGCTTATGCTGGGGGGAGGGAATCCCACGCGACTCCCACAAGCCCACAACTGTGCCCGATGTATCCACCCCCATAGGGTCCGCAACAGGGGTGACAGCACAGGTGGCTGTAGCAGGAGCTTTTAGCTGGACCACACAGCAGACATGGACATCGTGACCAAGACAGTTGTCCTCACACCATGAAGGCCATAGTGCAGACAACGGAGAGTGGCCACTTGGTTCTGCAATGTCAGAAAGCAGAGACTAACCTTTAAAGCCCATTAAATAGGTTCAGGGAGCCTATTTTGCCTTTCTTTACTGCGGTTTAAATAAAGAGCCATTAAATCTGAGAATGGATTGCTGTGTTCTGTCTGAATTTCCATGGCCCACAGCCCGGTAGTGACCTCACAGTGGATTCTGTGGCAGCTGTGCTGCAGCATGAGACCCCGGGATCAAGACCAGGGGGTTGCTCAGCAGAGCCTATGAGGCTCCATCTCAACCCCTTCCTAGCTTTGGCTCCCCAGGGTTATGGGTGAAAGTCCCAGACTGGGCTGGGGAGCTCTACCTCCACCATCTCCCTATCCTTTTTATAAACTTCTCTTTCCCCTGCAGGTCTGTAGACAAGTGGACTGTCATCCCTCAGACTACTTAGGGGATGGGGAGGGGAGCAGCAGCATTTGCTGGT